GCGAGGGCGGGGGGGGGGGGGAATATCGCGCGGGTCACCAATGAGCGGGACGGCCTGGTGCCGAAACCAGTTTGGGCTTCCGGGTACGGGCCTTGGGAGCACGAACGCGCGGACTCGCGTGGGGCCGGTCGCCATAAGCTCGCCCGCTGCCGGAGGCGCGGTCCACTGAGTTCCTCCAATCGGGAAGGTCCTGGCGGCCCTCGGTCTCCCGGCCGCGAGGCGGTTAGGTATGCCTGCGCGTGCGTGCGCAGGGGCAATTGTGTTGGTGTCCGTGTGGGTGTGTACCTGTGCCATGTGGCATGAGCGTCGGAGGGCCCCTTCCCCTCCTGGGGCCGATAACGGGCGCGAAACAGGGCGCACCGGCGTCGGCGGGGGAGATGACGAGGCGGCTCAGCGCACTCTCCCGGGTGCGGCGGCATGCCTGTCTGCCAGTGGCGGGCCGTCGTAGACCGGTTTTCTGACCCCGGCATCCGCATTCGGACAACGGCACGCGCGGCCCCGCGCGCGACACGACCTCTCGGGGTCCATTGTTGGGGCGGAAGAGGGGACGGGGTACCACGGCGGCCTTGCCGTTGCAGTCGTCGGTCTCCGCGACCGGCACACAGGGGGCGGGGCGAGGGGCATCCCCAGGCCGTGAGCCGCCGCGCGGGCCGGCGAGGAGGCGGCGCCCGGGATTCGGGCTCGCGTGGGCTTCGGGTCTCGCTGTTCGTGTGCCCCTCCCCCCCTCTGTTGCGGTTTCCCCCCTCTTCCGGTTCGGCTGCCTGGACGAATATGGAACCTCTCCCCGACGGGTGTAGGGGCGGGGTGGCTGGTTCGGAATATTCCATGGCTTATTAATGGGTGGAATATCCTTGTTCTCGGGGAGCTCTCCCTGTGAGCCGGCCCCTCCCCCCCCCCCCCCCCCCCCCCCCCCCCCCCCCGCCCCCCCCCCCCCCCGGGTTGGGAAGGAGTGCATGTTGGCAAGGGGGGGGGGGAGGGAGGCGACCGTGTCGCCCGTGGTTCCAGGCCTGGTATTTTCCCCACGCGCCTCGGCCCTCCCTCCACCACCCTGGCCGCTACTTCAGTGCGGGGGATTGTCCCCGGCGTGTGCCGCGCGCCGGGCGTCCACCCGCCCCCTGCCCGGCGGAGTGTCGCCGCGGTGCGTCTATCGTTTGCACACACACACACACGCACACACACGCACGCCAGGGCAATACGACGGCCCGCTG